GACGCGCGCCCGGGGGGGACTTTCCACTGACGCCGCCGCGGGGAGAGGAGCCCGCGCCTCCCGCCCCGGGGTCCTCCGCCTGCAGCCGGGACCCGCGGGGAAACTGAGGCACGGGGCGAGTCGGGCTGGCGTTGGCAGGGGCGATGAAGTGCCTGGCTGCGGGGGCACGGCCGTGTCAGGGGCCCTTGCTGGCTCGGCACAAGCCCAGAAGCCCCGTGTGTGGGTGCCTCCCCCCGCCGGAGGATGCTCTGGAGGAGCGAAGAAGCACTGAGCAGAGGCTGCGGCGCGGCCAGGGGACGAGGTGCCACTGTCTCTTCTCCGAAAGTCTCGAGAGGCGGGCCTGGCTGCAAAGCCCTACCTTGCCGCTTGGCAGGTGCACATCTGTGTTTTCCTCCCTTGGCGCCGAACTGTCCGCTTTGGCAACGTGCCTTTCTGCTGCAGACTGGTGTTTGGCACCTTACACCTGCCTGCAAGTCACTGTAGCTAGGAAAACTTTCCCACCCCTCCATCTCCACAGAGCAAATAACTCAGAGCCTTCGTGCCTTTCTTTCCCTTTCCACCTCTCACCAAGAAAGGCCATACCTGGAGCTTCTAGCGTATAGGATTTGCTTTCCCAGTATGTTTTCCTCCAGCAGCTGGCCCCTCAGGTCTGAGGGAGACAACCTGCGGCTGCCCTGAGGGAGACGTACTACAGTTTTCTGTGAAAGGTTACAGCGCCATGCCTTCCAGCTAGCATTTTTGCAATGGTTTTGTTTCCAGCTTTCCTTTTACTTAATTGGACAAGGAGACATGTTTCCATAATTTTGGAATATAGGTACAGGTTTCCCTCACTTCATGACGGTTCTGTATGTGCCAATTCACTCTTATGCAATGGCCTTTTATACTAAAAATTCATTATATGCAAGGTAAATTCATTCTTATGCGATCCATGGGATGGCAGCCTGCAGTCAGCTGCTTTGTGCAATGCACTGTGGGCATAGGCAACTGGTAGGGGGTGCATGGGGGTGCATGTGCCCCCCCTGATGAGGATGGGCCCCCCAATGGCTGACACTGATGCTGTTGGTAGGGCTGGTGCCCCCCCTGACAGGGTTATCGGCTTCTGCAGGTACCCACCAGATTCAGGAGGCACCAGTCATGATTGTGGGAGTGACGCACCAAAATATCCTGTGTGGATCTGTGCTCCTCACTTGTTGTCTGAGACACATGTTTCTGTGGTTTCCATCCCTATTATGATAGTGCCCTGTGCTTGTATGTACTGTCTGCTGTTGGTGAGTACCAAAATTGTCTTGTAAAAGTGGTAGAAATGGGTCTGGAGGTCAGTGCAGTTGAGGTCTTGGAACATTTGTTACATTGTAAAGTGGGTTCCCTTTATGAAAATCGGAATTATGCGCCATTTTCCAGGAACACGTGCAGCATAATGTGAGGGAAACCTGTATTTTCTAGTCATTGACACTTAAAAAGCTGCATCCAGATGCATGCAGATTTTATTTTTTCATTCGTTTTAGAATTCAAATGAAACTTTTTTCCCCCTAGGCTTGAACTTCATCCTGCCATTCTGCCAATACAAATACTACGACATTACTCTAGACAAGCAGAGGAAAGGATGCCGGTGATAATACCAATGCTCGATGTGGACATACCTCTGCCTCCCTGTAGAGCTCATCACAAGGTGATGGCCTAAATCTAGGCTCTGTTCCAGTTTGATTGACATCACTGGAACTGTAGACAGAGCAGACTGCAGGACTAGGATTGTATGTAATCCAAATCTTTCATTTTTAATTATTTCTGAGACACTTAATAGTACACAGAAGCTTCTTATTGCACACCTGCACTCACATATCTATATATAAAGAAAAAAATGAACTTGACCTTCTTTCCCAAATGATCTGAAAGCACTACAATACAACAATTATTAGGATTAATTAGCTTCTAACTGCTAATAATTCCTGTTTTCCTATCATCCCATAATAGAGCCAACCATGTAAAGACTATAGAGCAGTAGTCAAAAATATTTCACATAAACTGTACAGTATTCTGGGATAACTTAAAATTTGTATTGGAAACTGGCAATCAAAGTTACAAAATAAAACCCAACAAATATCCATTTCCATATAATAAACTTACAGAAAGAGTTACAGTAAA